TAAATATTATAAATATTTATGTAAATATTGATTTTTTTTATATATAAAAAAGAGCAACTTTTACCCAAAACCAGGCAAAGCAGGCAGGCAGATGGAGTTGCTCACAGAATCACAGATTAACTCAGAGATCTACCTTTCTGCAATCTGCTGCCTGAGTCTGCACTGAAAAATAGAAGCTTCAGTCCTAAGGAAGGTTCAGCTCTGCTTTTAGATTAGCTAGAAAGCAAGAAATCCAATGATTTCCTGCTTTCTAGCTACTCTAAATCTCCCGACACAGCAGAACAGCAGATGCTCAGGGGAAAAAAAAAAAGGAAAAATAGCAACTTACCAAACGCAGGCAAGTTTGATGGTGCGCATGCCAGGTAAGGAGTGAGTGAGTGGGGAGGGAAGGAGAGGGGAGGGGCCAGCCAGTGGCACGATTTGCCAGTTCTCTGAACTGGGCAGAATCATAACAACCGGTTCTATAGAACTGGTCCGACCAGGTAGAATCCCACCCCTGAGTAGTAGCCAGCACAGGTTTGTTAAAAACAGATCATGCCAACTAACTTATTTCATTCTTTGACAAAGTGGCTAAATTAGTAGAGCAGCAAAATGCTTTGGACATAGTATATTTAGACTTCAGCAAGGCATTTGACAAAGTAGACAACAACGTACTACTTGGTAAGCTAGCAAAATGTGGGATTGACAGCATCACCACCAGATGGATTTGTAACTGGCTTACAAACCACACTCAATGAGGAGTCCTTAATGTTGCCACATCCACATGGAGGGAACTAAGCAGTAGGGTACCACGAGGTTCTGTCTTAGGCTCTATACTCTTCAATATCTTTATAAATGACTTAGATGAGGGAATAGAAGGGGGAACTCATCAAATTTGCAAATGACTCTAAACTGGCAGGAATAGTTAACACCCCAGAAAACAAGCTAAGGATCCAAAAGAATCTTGGCAGACTTGAACAATGGGACCTGTCCAACAAAATGAAATTTAATGAGTACAAAAGCAAAGTTTTATACCTGGACCAAAAAAAAAACAAAGATGCAAGTGCAGATTAGATGAAACCTGGCTCCAAAACAGTAACTGTGAGAGGGACCTTGGAGTCTTAGTGGACGATTACTTAAACATGAGTCAACAGTGTGCAGCAGCAGCCAAAAAAGCTAATACAATCCTTGGTTGTATAAACAGAATCAAAATCATGTGAAGTATTAGTACTACTTTATAAAGCCTTGGTAGGACCACACCTGGAATACTGCATCCGGTTTTGGTCACCACATTACAAAAAAGATGTTGAGACTTTGGAAAAAGAAGAGCAACCAAGATGATGAAAGGCCTGGAGGCTAAAACATATGAAGAACAGTTGGAGGATTTGGGTTTGGCTAGTCTAGAGAAAAGAAGGACGAGGGAGGACATGACAGCAGTATTCCAGTATTTGAGGGGCTGCCACAAAGAAGAGGGGGTCAATTTATTCTTCAAAGCACCAGAGGGCAGGACAAGAAATAATGGATGGAAACTAATCAAGGAGAGAAGCAACTTGGAATTGAGGAGAAACTTTTGAACAATGAGGACAATTAACCAATAGAACAGCTTGCCTTCAGACATTGTGGGTGCCTCATCACTGGAGGTTTTTAAGAAGAGACTGGACAGTCATTTGTGTGAAATGATACAGCATCTCCTGCTTGAGTAGGGGGCTGGACTAGAAGACCTCCAAGGTCCCTTCCAGCTCTCTTCTGATTCTGATTCAGTTGCCAAGTGTCTGAATTTTGATCATATGACCATGGGGATTCTGTAACGGTTGTAAGTGTGAAAAATGGTCATAAGTCACTTTTTTCACTGCCGTTTAATTTCAAATGGTCACTAAATGAGCTGTTATAAATCGAGGATTACCTGTGTTCAGAATTACCAGCCTGTGTTACTGAGTCTGCTTATTGCTCCCATTCCTTCTGAGGAGAAGAAGGAAAAGAGCTTGTAAACTAGACAAAAAGGTCAAGATCAGAAAGGGATTTATTTCCTTCCCTTTCTGGACCCCCTGTTCATATCTCAAGATTAGTATGTAGGCCATATCAGGAGTGATTGTCAAACAAGAATGTAGGTCTGAATGGTTGTCAGTCCCTAGCACAAAGGTTAAAATGATAACTCCAGGGGTTTAGGAGAAGACATAAATTATGAGCTGGGCGGAGGGAGCTTGAGGCAGCTTGCTAGACCTGGAGAGGAATCAAAGAACTGAAATTAGGATGTTCAGGAAATCTTGTGGCAAAAATGGACATGGGCAGGAATCTTTTGCACTATTTATGCTACAAATCTCAAATCGTGTGCTTATCCTGAATATACTACTAGTCACGCATGATCAGAAATTTGGGTAGATACCAACTTCTCACCACTTGAAGGGTAGTGCATATGCAAAACAATTCAGAAAAGCCAAACAGAATCTAAAAACAGATGAAAGCCTCTTCAGAAGGAAAGCAGTGACAGTAGCAATCTTAAGATTAAAAGGACAGATGTGTTTTTGAAATGGACTTAAAATATTGTACAGTACAGGCAAAGGACTTGTTCTACTGCACACAGAAAGAAAGAGATCCAGTTCTGGCTGGTCAAAATATTTTGATTTTCTAATAAATCCTTTCTGGTTTTGCTACTTACTATGCTCTTGATGTGATTATTTCTCCCTAGAACAGGTCTCTTCTAAGTGTGTGTGTGTGTGTGTGTGTGTGTGTGTGTGTGTGTGTGTGTGTATGAGATTTTGATCCATCTTGGTCTTATGAAGTCATTTATCAATGTTTTCAGATGTGACAGCATTTATTATTTTGAAATGTAAGCCTGAGTGCAAAAAGGCATTCAGTGGCCTGTTGTATGTAATGGTGTATGAACAGTGTGTATGCCATTACCTATTTTTCAAAATAGTGCCAGACAGTATACGTTATGGGGAATGCTTTCAAATTGCTTTCTATTTTAGTCACAAAGTGAATTCTGGGCTATCAGACCAATTGAGGTGTTGCTTCCACAACCAAATTTTCAAAAAATCACATTTCAGAAATTCCCAAATGCCCACCCAAATGAGTGTCCTGTTAGCCTTATCCTTAAGAAAGTGCAAATTGTGAATCTGGTTCCAAAAGGATCATGTAGCCCAACTGAGTCTTCTAAACCTACATTGATTATTTACAAATTTGTTGAGGAGAAAAATAGTCTAGATTTGTTGTTTATTAGCAAACTATTTAGGAATAAATTTGTATCAAAGAGATAATCTGTTACTTATTTTCTTCCTTGAGTTGTAAAATTAAAATTACTTTAATTCATAATTATAAGAATCACTATTTCTCTTTGAAGGCATCTGTAAATGGACTTGCCTTCTCCTCTTTGGATAATGTAGATAATCTATGTTGCATAATGACACTCCTGCTCCCCACTGGGTTGTCATTGGCAGGCAAGCTCTGAGATCACAAAGATATGTTAAAAAGAGCCTCCTATAAATAATTATTTTTAGAACAAGTAAAAATATAAAATTAAATGCTTAAGGATGAAATTGTAAATAAAAAAAAACATTGACCTGGGAGTTAATCCCATAAAATGCAATGGTACACATAATACTTACTTAGATTCAGTTCTGGATTTTTGTTGAGAAATCCAAAGTTTAAGAAGCTGATGATGTTTTCAATTGCCCTGCTAAACCACGAGGATGATTATGGTGATACTGCCATTATTACTAATGTATTAAAATGTCAAATTGACATTTTTTTTCTGCTTCATGAATTTGAGGCAAAGGAATTTCATGGAATATATGGTGCAAATATTCTAATTAGGTTAGATGTGATCCCTTGGAGTCTCAGAGGTGCTTTTTTCAGGAGGCAACTGGACTTTCTTGTTTTTTCTTTGAAGACGTTTTGCTTCTTATCCAAGAAGCTTCTTCAGCTCTGACTGGATGGTGGGGAATGAAAGGATTTATGCTCCTAGCAGACAGCTGGTCCTTTGCATCCTTTTAAAGTCATTGAGGACACCTGGAGGTTTATCTGTTCTTTGGGATCACCAGAGTAGTGCAAATAGGTTTGAAGCCTTCTTGGCTGCAGGATGTCCTGTGTCCCTTCACTGTTGAAGACAGGTGCAGGCTGTTGGGATGAGTCTGTGTTGTCCGTATCTCAAACTGAAATGCAAATGGTTTCCTATAACCTCCAGTTTTTCTGGAAATTCGTTCATACTCCCACACCATTTGAAAGATGTTCATCCCAAAGTGAATGGCTCAGTCTTGGAGTAAACCCTATTTTCTCAATATGACATTTTAAGCTTTCATTTGCAAGTGTCGATACAAAAAAATGATAATGTGGCAGCTAAAGTCTAATGTGGCAGCTAAAACCATTCTTTAAAAATATATAGTTTAAATATCTTTGATTATGCTGATTTAGGATAGTAATAATTTAAACACTGTTTTATAAATGGTATGAAGAAGTACCTTCAACCTCTTGCATCTTCTATGCCACTTTACCAGCTTGTTCCCTTTCTTGAGTCTGTGTGTTGGACTTCAATTTTCATTACCATCATTCAGTATGGCCAACAGATTGTGAAAGCTAAATTGAATTGAATTGAATTATTTATTGTCACTGTATGTATATACACAGTATACATACAATGAAATTCACATAACATCCAGAGACCAGACTCAACATGCACATACACGTGACAATCCGCAAACACCTCCCCACCCGTCAAAATTCCCCACCTCCTAAAAACACACAAACATCCACACAACAGACCAAGTAATACTGTTCAACAGCTCACTGATGGTGGTCCTTAAGTTCATTGTTAAGTGCAATTATAGCTCTGGGATGAAAACTATTCAGAAAACGGTCCGAGTTTTAATTGTTCTGTATCTTCTGCCAGAAGGCAATAGTTCATAAAGATTGTAAGCAGGATGGGAAGAGTCTCTGAGAATGTTGTGCAACTTCTTCAAACAGTGAGATGCGAAGGGGTCATCCAGGGCTGGTAGCTGGAGTCCAATGATATTTTGGGCAGTTTTAATGATTCTCTGTAGAGCTTTTTTGTCCACTACAAAGCTGCTCCCATACCATACAAAAATGCAGTATGTCAGAACACTCTCAATAGTGCTGCAGTAGTAGGACAGAAGTAGATACTGAGAGAGATTTATCTTCCTGAGCATTCTCAGGAAGTATAGTCTCTTCTGAGCCTTCTTTACAAGCATGTTAGCATTCATAGTCCATGAGAGGTCCTCCGAGATATAAATGCCCAGAAATTTAAAACTACCAACCTTCTCCACCTCCTCACCATTTGTGTACAATGGTAAATGTACATCTCTCTTCCTCCTGAAGTCAATTATAGTTCTTTAATTTTTGGGGTGTTAAATGTAAGATTATTTGCCGGTTTTTATTTGAATTTATTGGCTTTGCTCAAAGTCTATGGAGATTCTTACTCATCCAGGTCATGGTTGTCCCAAAATTGCTTTTTCAGCAGGCAACTGGGCTTTTTTTTTTCTTGAAGACATTTTACTCCCCATCCAGGAAGCTTTTTCAGCTCTGACTGGTTGGTGAGGAATGGAAGGATTTATATTCCTTGCAGACAGCTGGTAATTTGCATCCTTTTAGAGTCTTTGAGGCTCTTGTAGGTTTATTTGTGTCCTTAGGGTCACCTGAGTAGTGCAAATGTTCCTGTAGTCTGCAATTTTTCCTGGAAATCTGTTCACTCTCCCACATGATTCAAAGGTTGTTCACCCCAAAGTACATGGCTAAAAGTCTATGGACTTCTCTTCTTTGAAGATGTTTAGATTCTCATCCAGCTTCTTGAAGAAACAAACAAGAAAAGTCCAGTTTCCTCCTGAAAAAGCACCTTTGGGACAACCATGACCTAGTTGACTGAGACTCTCCATAGTCTTTTAGCCGTGCACTTTGGGATGAATACCCTTTGCATGGTGTGAGAGAATGAATGGATTTCCAGGAAAAATTGCAGACTACAGGAACAATATAAATCCTTCCATTCCCCACCATCCAGTCAGAGCTGAAGAAGCTTCTTGGATGAGAAGCAAAACACCTTCAAAGAAAAAAAAACAAGAAAAGTCCAATTGCCTCCTGAAAAAGCTCCTTTGGGATATTAGCTTTGCTCTTTAGCTTTTATTAGTTGATCATATTTTAGCAGTATAGGGTTGATTTTTAAAAAAAAACATTGCAAGCTGATTTAAAAATGCTTTTTGTCTGATAACCGAGTTTGCCCACATTGTAAAATAAAAAGTAAATAAGCATGATATTTTGAAGTTGGGAATGGACATTTCCCTCTGGATTGTGTGGGCTTTTTTTTTTTTTTTGCTGCACTACCAATCTCTTGAGTTTCCAGTGTAATGGAATAATTATGTAGCAGTATCAATGATTAATCAGGTCAAGCCTGACTCCTTTTTCTTGCTATAGCTTGGTCGATGTCATAAACATTCAGCCATTGACAGAAGTGCTCACGCTTAGGCACGATTTGAAAGATCAGAATCTTATTCAAACATAAATGACCTTAGTGTAATGGAGCATTGGGTGATGCTCTTGATAGCAAGCTAAAAACAGTCAAAAATAGCAGGTATTTTTTCCCTACAGAGAAGAAATTAGTATCTTTTACAGCATCTATTAGTCATTTGTGGCTGTAGGCATAGTCTTCCAAACAAAAATAAAAACTGGAAAGAAAAGCAAGATTCATGCTTGCAGTTTGTAAAATGTTAACAATAACATTTAAAGCCTGTAATATATTTTATTCTGAGTTCCAAAAATTATCTACACTTCTCAAGCTGGTTACTGACTGAAATAAAATTCCTTCCTTCCTTCCTTCCTTCCTTCCTTCCTTCCTTCCTTCCTTCCTTCCTTCCTTCCTTCCTTCCTTCCTTCCTTCCTTCTCATGTGATTCAGTAACTGTTATTTCCATTAATAAAATGTTGATTTTTTAAAAAATCTCCAACAAGATGCAAAAAGAATAGTTCCAAAAATTAAGCAAAAGAGATATTCAAGCAAATGTTGTATTACATTAACTGATGCAAAAATTATTGCTTGATTGTAAAAATTATATTATAGACAGATTAATGTTCATTTAGAATTTTGAACCTTGATCAAGAATACCACATTTCATCCTCTAGCCAAAGCAAGTCCTTGGAGATTCTCCAGACAATATACATTTATCTTTTTCTACTACAAAGAAAGTCATTTAAGGCCATAAAGCCCTAGAGTTCAAAGGGACTTAAGAGGTCATCAATTCCCTTCATGCCACAGGATTCACTACACCATCCCTGATAAATGACTAGCCAATCTTGGTTTGAAAACCTCCAGTGAAGGAGAAGGAACCACTAGTCTGTAGAAGTAGAGAAGGAACCAGTAACCTAGTCTGCTGATTGACAGCTCCTACTGTCAAGAGGTTCTTCTTAATGTCTAATCTGTATCCACATCTTAGAAGTTTCATCCCACTAGTTCTATTATTACCCTCTGGAACAATTGAGTCTGTCAAGGAACAGAACAACCTGTTAACTTCCAATTAAGATTTATTGCTCAAACCTATACATAAGAATTTAGTCAACTAACGGTCAGTACTAAATTGGTACTAGATAAGAGTTAATGGAATTCAGGGGGCGCTGGATTTGGATCACTTGTGGGAACATAATACTCCAGACTGATTCCTCCCTTCACTCTGCCTCTAGGCTCTGCCTCTTCTTCTCCTACAGAAACCAGCTACAATGTGACTGCCTTTCAGATATTTGAAGACTGATGTCATATCTCCTCTCAATCTTCTCTTCTGCATGCTAAACATGCCTACGTCTTTTAACTGTTTCTCATACAATTTGGTTTCCAGTATTTTAACTATTTTGGTACCCCTTATCTTGATTGGCTTTAGTTTAGCACTGTACTTTTTAAATTTGGGCTCTGCAGAACTAACACAATATTTCAGGTGAGACCTGACCAATGCAGAATACAGTGAGATAATTACTTCTCTATACTCCTCTTGAACTTCCTCAAAAGTTTGTTGGCTTTATTATTCTGTTGGGATAACTGTTAGGCTGTAACTGTTGAGTCATACATTGTACATAATTATTTCTGTATTATGACACAGGCAGTGGCTGATGTCAGAATTATGTAAACAGAATGTTCTTCTCAGACAACTTACTAAAACAAAGTTACACAAAATATTTGTATCTGAAAGTGTCATTACAATAGAGTGGTCGGTCTTGTCCCAAACGAAATACCCTTCCAGATTAATTGATTGATTGATTGATTGATTTAGTGTATGGCAAATACATGGACTTACAGTGATTCAAAAGTTGATGTCCAGTCCACACAGCCATTCAACGACAGGGTGATCTGTGTTGAAAAAAATCAGACATTGGGCCAGTGTAAGCTCTTGATGGACATTCAGACAAAATGTGATGGATATTTTGTTGAGTGTAGAGTTGTAATTGCAGGAATGTTCTTATCTGGATGGCAAACCTCAGGTAATGAACGTTTGCAAAGCAAATACAACTCAGGCAAACAAAGTCATTAATGTAAAGGAGGATTAGAGAGAGGAAGTAAACATATGTTAGACTTTAACTAGAGATAATTAATTGTGTTAATTACTATGCAAAACAGTAATGAAAGTTAAACAATAACTAAAGTTAACCAATGTTAGAGGATTACTAAAAATGCAAGACTAGACTCCAATAAAGTTCATCATGATTCATTTGATCATGATCAAACACCTCGACTGCCTTGTCATTACACAACAGTTGAGGAGCACCACAGTCACACTGAGGGGTAGAGATAAGACCACATTTAAACAACGGGTCCTGGCAGATACCATGTTGGGTATGGATCCTTCCTGTTCAGATTGATCAATGCTGGTGAGGAAGGTCAAAACCCTTCCAGAGAAATGTTATGATAGGAAGGGCTTTTAAGCCCTAGGAATATCAGTGTTACAATTTCTTTGCCATCCAAGTAGAAATATAGTTTTAATATATCTGTCCACATAACAGGTGAACACTTCCTGTATGTGTGTGTGTGTGTGTGTGTGTGTGTGTGTGTGTGTGTGTGTGTGTATATATATATATATATATATGGATCTTTGGTTATTCGGGTTTTAGTGTTTCCTTGGAATCCATTGGAAATTAATACGTTAGTGAGGGTGTGTAGTTCTGTTCTCAAACACCATCACCAATCTAATCCGAAAAGAGATACCCCCAAAAAACCAAGACACAGAACAAGACAACGGTATCGCACTCCTCCCCTACATCAAAGGCACCACAGACAAAATCAGCAAAATTCTTCACAAACCCAACATCAGGACAGAATTTGGCACAGAATACCCAACATCCTAAGAAACCCCAAAGACAAGGTCCAGCTAGAAAACCAAGGAGTTTATGAAATACCATGCAACAATTGCCCAGCCACATACATTGGACAAACCAACAGGAGAATAAATGCACGCATTGCAGAACACAAAAATGCAGTCAGAAGAGAAGAAAATACTTCCTCCTTCTTCCAGCACCTTAAAGCCACAGGACATGAAATTAATTTCGAAGGAACCAAATTAATATCCAACACTGAACACTCCAGCAAGAGAATAATCAGGGAAGCCATCAAGATAGAGAAACACCCCCACAACATGAATAGACGGGATGATACCTTCCGCCTACCAGACATCTGGAAGCTAGCCCTTACCAACATACGAGTCCCAGCCACAAAAACCAACACCAGACCCAAAACAATGTGGGATACCACCGCCAATCCCCCTCATCAGACCCAGGCCCAAGCCCATCCTATAAATGAAGGACAACCACCATCCAGAAAACAGACCACGGCTGCTTCGCCAGCTGTCATACACCCCGACCCCAAAACCAAACAAGCTGACACATGCCAAGAACACAGACCCAGACCCCAAACTTGAAACCAGTCTAAATCCCAGAATGCTACATCACAGCCACCCGCTCAGGACATCATACCAGAAAACTCAGGAAATTACACCACAAGAACTCAAGAAGTTACAACACAGCAAATGACCCAGGATATCACAGCACAAGACCAAGGATACCATAGCAATAAATCTCACAACCCATTACCCAAGCCGTTACTACAGAGGAGGCTAATGGAAAAGAGATCAAAACACAAACAACCCAGGAGATTACAATGCAGGACCCAGGATACCACAACAAAAGAACTCACAAGCCCATCACACAACCCATTACCCAAGCCGTTAAAACACGAGAGGCTAATGGAAAAAAGATCACTACAAAACAAACGACCCAGGAGATTACAGCACAAGATCCAGGATATCTCCACAACAAAACTCACAAGGCCATCACACAGCCCATTATACCAACATCAACTCCATCAACCAATCAAGAGGCAGCAGCGCAGCCAACCAGCCCAGCACACCAGCCCCCACCACCAATATATATGGAGAGACGGCAGCTCCAATCACACACTGCTTGCACTGGCACGAAGCCGAAAGCACCAGCCTGAGGATGGCGAGTGGGACCTCGCCAAAATGTTGCCAAGATACTCTTAATCTTACATGGGAAAAGACCCGAACACACCTAGACCTCCATACCTGTACCCGTGAAAATCTACGAAAACAAATATATATGTGTATATGTATATGTATATGTATATGTATATGTATATGTATATGTAT